TGATAACAGCTTGGACAAGAAGAAGAGAGCATATGGAAACAATATACTGAGGCATAGTTAAGATAACATAATATGCATATATGATGCATAATGAAAAACATGATGTTTTGATCCACAATATGCATATATGATGCATAATGAATGACAAAATGTTTCGATCTTTATTTAGACAAGAATGTTAAAATGATTTCTTCCCTACATCATACTTCTATTCTTCAAAGGTCTTAACAGGGTCAGAAAAGATTTTTAGTTTCACATGGCGCTGCAGAAAAAGATAACGAGTTGTTTAAACATCAGAAGCAACTTTTATGAGGATACCACGGCGAGGAGAGAATTGCTGATACAGTTAGCAATTGAATGTCCCAATAGTGTGCTCAAGCAGACAACGATTCCCACACCTAAACATGTATAGATAAACCTGTTGATAAGAAGCTATAGTTTCTTCAGTTCTCTGCGAAAATCAACTAACTACATTGTACTACATCAACGAGAGAAGTCAAAATATGATTAAACACCAATTCTGAGTAGCAATGAAAACTGATAAGAGGTTTCTAGCATGACTTTTAACATCTAGTCAGCTAAAAGATCTGATTTCTAGGCCTGACCATTGACTTCCAATCAGCTAAAAGATCTAGTTCTGTCATGTCCTGCTAGATTTCGCTCTTTATGACATATTGCTATGGGTTTTTTACATTGTTGCCAAGAAGATGAAGTACAATTTATTCCTTGAAGTGGAAAAATCCACTTAGATGGATTCTTGCATCTGAAAATGCAACCACATTTTTCTCGTTCACTTGGCAACTTAGCACAATACGTTAATTGCATGTTGCTCCCAAGACAAAACATGCAACAACAGCATTTTTGCACTATACAATTTTCCTTTTTTTTTAAATCTTTCCAGCTTTTCTACAAAGCAGAGACCCATAAATAAGAAAGGAGGAGAGAAAAAAGACATACCAAGGTGTAGGAACAGGTGATGCAAGATCCAACTCATCAACCCCGTCTTTCCACTTCTTCAGCAGCCAAAGAGAGTATACGATCATTGCAACTCCAATAGCATTAATAACGAAGTTGACAACCCTGATTGACCTGTGCAAATAACATCGGCTACAGCTTACCATTGCTGAACTCTGCAGAAATCTTTTGCCTCAAAATCAACAGTAGTCATTGAACTACACGTTGAATTTAGTTTGGACCAGCAACCCTGCAAATGTGGATTGCAGCACAGAAAAGAACTCTTGTGGTCTTTGTAGAGGGAGATGAAGGAAACCCCTCTGTGGAATGGTAGTTAGATGGCCGCTGGAAATTCACAGGCCAAAAATGGACTCTGGACTATTGTGGCTTATTACAGTATCATGTAATATTGGTCTACGCTCTCAGGGCCAAAATGTACACAGAATTACCTCGACAATTGTCATTCAGAAATTAAAGAATTAGAGTGACAGAACACCTTATTTCGTGTAAGGGATAATTTCAGAAACCTCCCTTGAAGTTTCTGACAATTGCACTGCCATCCCTCAAAAGTTTTAAAAATATCACTTATCTCTCCTATAAGCTATTTGGGGTCCAATGCTTACCGGATGGATGGTGAAATGACTTTACTATCCTTACAACTCTGAAAATATTACGTATTTATATGGAGAGAAACAATTGAGTCACTTGTACTAAATTAACCATGATTTGCAATATAAAAAATTTTAAAATCTTGAATACTAAAATTTATAACGATAATTGTTAACATTTTAAAATTCTTTTTTTGTATTTTAGTAGTTCTTGTAATTTCTTTCGCCTAAAAAAAAGATTAAAATTTCTATTGAAATATTATTATTTCATAAATTTTTCATAAGAATAACAAGATGAATATGAAAATACACAAAAAGGAGTAAAGTATATTAAAATATGTTTACAATTAGATTTTATTAAGTTATGGATAAAATATAACTACACATAATCCACTCTTTCCTTTCTTTTCCAAACTATTTGGTGTGTTTTTTCTTTTCTTTGTGTACATTATCCAAACAAGATGGTTAGAAAAAAAAATTTCTACTTTGATTTATTTGCTTTGCCATTAAAATCATACCCTCATTAATCCAATCGTTGCTTGAGAGTTTTTTTTTAAATTACAAATGATGGAAATTTCTTGCTAATCATCTGAAATAATGGACCCCGTAAGTTAAAGAAATAATTCAACAAAGATAACATATTTTAGCATATTCTATATTTTTTATCATTAGCCATCTATTGTGATGTTTTTTCTTGAAAAGATCATACTTTATCTTGTTCAGCTCCTTTTCAAAATCTTTCAAATTCTGATACTAAGAGTTTTGGAAATTTACATATAAATCTTGATTCCAAATTAATAAGTTTTCCTCTCCAATACTTTGATTTTGTTATTTTATATAGTTCTATAAAAAATAGTCATTGTTACTAAATTCTATTATACTTATGCTAGAGTTTAGTTCTTAGTTTCTACTTTTAACTAATATTTCCTTTTGATTCTAAGTCAACCAACTAGTAATAAGTTAAAGGGTACTTTTGGTATGAAATATTCTTCTCACTCTTGAAATCTTTTTTTTATTGTTGATTTTTTTGAATTGGGTTAATTTGTTACAAGAACATTATTTTTAAGGAAGGTTAATAATATTTTAAAAATCTCAAAGAAGGACAGTGAAACTGTAGAAACCTCAGTGGAGGTTTCTGAAATTATCCCTTCTTTTAAATCTTATAGAAGTCTTAACTGATGCTGCACCAAACTGTTCCGCTATTATGTTATGCCACCCCAAATATCTGTAAATTCATGTGCCCACCTACCAGTGTCAGTTTAGAACTGAGAGGATACACCTTCCCATCATTCAAGTCAACAAAATTGTTTGTCCTGAAGCTGGTTTTGGGCCTTAGCCTAAGCCCTTAGGTTATAAGAGAAAGCATTCTTTATTTGGTAGTACGCGTTTGAGGGTTGTCTTGTGTTACAATTGCCTCCAAATTTATGGGGGGCAACTGCCCTGGATTCTTTAGGGATAATTTCAGAAACCTCTCTGGGTTTCTGACAGTTTCACTGTCCTCCCATGAGGTTTTCAAAATATCAAAAACGTCCCCTAAAACTAATTAGCTAGTAACAAATCAGCCCAATTCAAATACAAAAATAATATAAAATTGGTATTAGGAGAGAAAAAACAATTTGATTCCATAACTACCCTTAAGTTTTGCATTAGGTAGTTAATTTACTATGAACAATATATATCTATTTTAACTTTATCAAATGTGAGGCAGTGTAAGTGAAATTGCTTACAAAAGCAAGGCTTCAATTTCAAGATTGTGTAACTATCACCACATTCATAGAGAGTAAATAAAAGATCAGATCAGCTTTCTAACTCTACAACAAATTTAGCAACTCAAAGTCTCATCTAGATATTGCATGTGTAATATCATACCATTACATGTATTATAACACATTAGTTGCATACTCTTATAAGAGAAACAAAGCTTGTAAACCCTGTTATAACCTGAATTTCAATTTAAAAAAGACCATTTGTTGAATAATCACAAATAAGAAAAAATTTGTCATTATTAAAAGGTTTTTCAATTTAGTTGCATACAACTAACAATCTTTACCTATATTTCATACAATACCAATATCTATTTTCCATGACAATAAAAGTAACAATTAGGAAAAAAAAAGAAAAAACAATAAAATTGAATACAAATCATCAACTAGAGCAAATCATATAGAACATAATAAATTTTGAGAAAAATTTGAGAGCAAATTTCCTCTTCAAGTCTCCTAAATCCTTATATATGCCTAAAGAAGCTATATTTCTCTTATTCCACAAAAACCACTAGAATTTGAATCACTACTTCTACTTACACACATCAATTATCAATCATAGAAAGGCGCTTATTTTTGGCTCCCCTTTTGTAATGGTATATTAGAAATTTAAAAAAAAAAACTAACAAATTGTCATCGATCATAGGGGAAGGAGGTGGTCGGGGAGAGTGGGGAAAGGGGGAGAGGGGAGTGGAGGATGAGAGGAAGGAGGAGAGGGGGAGGGAGGAGAGAAAGAAAAGAAAAAAAAAGAAAAAGAAAAAAATGGTGGCTGAAAGCCGGTGGCTCTAGTAGTGGTGGGAGGAGGAAGAAAAAAAGTAGAAAGAAGGGAATTTTTTTGTATGTTTTTGAATATTGTAAAGTGTGTATTTTTCAAAATTTTAAAATTTTTTGAAATTATTGTAGTTAAAGTTGTTAAAAATCTTGTAGGAGAAAAACTTGACAAAAAACTTATTTGCTAAATAGATAACTAGTTAATAACAATTTAACTAATCATGTGAACATAATTGTCAAATACCTCTTAAGTTGTGTGGGTAATTAAGTCATTTCCCTATAATTGATGCAACAATTAGATTCCATTGACCTGATAGAGGAGGTTTCTAATATTTTAGAAACCCCAGTGGAGGACAGTGAGATTGTTAAAAACCTCAAGAGAGATTTCTGAAATTATCCCTATTCTTTAAAATAATGAGTACAAAGAGGACGGAGTTATTTTCGTAATTTTCTAGAGTGGGAATTCTATTGAAACTCGAGAAGTTCAGTGCAAGGTAGGGCACCAACCATACTGACTCGCACAAACCAAGCCGACCCATAGACTCGTATCTTGGAATTATTCAAGGCTCAAAAGCAACAACCACATCCTGAGAGCATGTTCCACCAAACTGAAACTGTAAGCTACGACATGCCAATACTACTTGGGGAAGGAATCACCAGTGCCGCGTATTACAGACCCGAAATAAGGCGTGTTTTCTTCTCTATTTGGAAATAAATTACAATATAGAAAAACTAGAAATTGTACACTTGGGAAAAATAAAAAACAAAAAAAGCAGCCTCAGTGAAGGGACGCGACCAAGGGAAAGTGTCTCTTTCAGTCATCCATTCCCTCGCTTAACCCCACCAACCCTCGCTCCCATCTTTCCCCAAAACTCAGCCCCATCCCATCCAAGCAAAAAATAATAGCCACAAATGATGGAACTCAGTTCCTCTAAGAAAAGAAAATCAGTCCATTTTTCATCTCATTCTTTTCCTCAAGTTTCTGGGAGGTGGAAGCCAAGCTAATTAAAATGTTCTGCCGCACAAAAATGGCTGTAGCTCCAGTCCAGAACTCACTCCAACTTTACCCTGTCGACATCGGTCATCACGCCTTCAAGCTGTACGAGAACAGGCATCAGCATGCAAACTACAGGAAAGTAACGGGTACGTTTTATGAGCATCAGTTGAGATGCAAGTACCTTGACAATTTGACGCAGAAAATAATCCCCATACCGCTTAGCTGGTTTAGATTCTATAACATGAATCATGTCCTAAAACCAAAAAAAATGCATCAGATAGATGAACAGAAAGCTATAGTTAACACGCATTTGACTTCTAAATGCTTCACAGTTTAAACAAAATGGGCTCTAAATAAATTTTGATGGTCTTCAATTAGAATTGTGCCATTCACTAGATGTCTTTCTGCAGGTTCCAAAACTTCAATTCATGATCCACCACAAATATCCAAGACAGTGAAATGTAGACTGCAGTAATATCGGTCTGTCCTACACAGCATAAAAAAGCAAGCATATTCCTGGTGAGCATACTTGCACGCCACATGAGGCTGCGACCACCTTGAACTCATTTTCACTCAATTTGGCTATGCTCAATTCATACTCAACAATAAACAACCTCAATCAGATTTTCTAAACAAAGTTCAGGACCATGGGGCTAGGATGGAATCAGTGAGCAAATTTGAGTTGAACTGTCAAGCTTAACAGCTATACAATCATAACAAGCTCAGGCTTATAACATCAACTAGAATTTATACGATCATAACAAGCTCAGGCCTATAACATCAACTAGACTTTCTGTATAGATGCACGAACAGAACATGTTGTGCCTGCAAGGCTTGACCTCCAAAATGGCAAGTTGAACCCTAATAACTGCCAAAGCTCAGGATGCCTATAGGCTTCAGATTGTGTCAGTGCCCACAAGACACTGACCAAATTTGCTACTAAACAAGCTTACCCACTATACTATTTAATTCGTTCAAAATGGTTTGCTCCGAGATTTAACCATTCTTTCTTAATTTTAAATGCAACAGGCATGGATGTGTCAAGGTATGTGCATAGGACAGAAGCACAACACTACATCCAGAGTTACAACTTACATCATCTACATAAAAGTCAACATCAGCATTGGAGCTGATCTTTCCATCAGAATCAACAGCGTGTGTTTTGTGCTTGTATGTCAACAAAATTGTCCTGCACACCATTAACTTCAAACAGTAAGAAAATCAACTTTTAAAAATAAGGAAAAGAAACATATAAGTTTTGAACAAGGAAAAGAAACATATAAGTTTTGTCCCTGACCTTAAAGTAGGTTCATCCACTTCCAGGTAAGTAGCAAGCTTGCCCATGGAGATCGTTGAGTAAACTTTTAAAAATGTTCGAACACCTGATAATAATTGTTGCTGTTTCACTTCATAAAGAAACAGCTTCAACTGAAGCCTATAGGCATCCTGAGATTTAGAAATAAACAAATGGATGATAGATGCCAATAATTCACAATATTAACAGCACATGCATAATGCTTAAGCTGTCTAAGAACAGCCTAAAATTAATAGGTCAACCAAGAAACTACAAGACAGACTATTTTTTTTTGGGACTGCCCATCCCACAGATCACCGTTTCTGGCACGTGAAATGACATAAAACTTTCAAATATGTTTCAACAAACATGAACAGTGGTCAAAATTACACCGACCACCATATATCAGACCATGGTATTGCTAACAATTGCAACGTTCAAAGGAACACCATCAGGTGTTACTAGATACTTAAGATAACAAAGGCATGAGGAATTCACATGCTTTTTTTGTTGCACTCATTCAAGACTGTGTCTGCTTCTGTGTCTCCCCCCCCCCCCTCAAAGTTCTCCTTTTGGAGAGCCTGCTGCTGATTAAAGCACAGAAGATTGCCAGTCCATTGATTGCAGGCTTATTTAAGTACGATAAGGGACAATCATACCTGATTGTAGTTTACAAGAGGCTCCTCAAAACTAGGAGCAGATGGAGTGATGAACTTGGGACATGCATAGGAGAAAAGCTCATCATATAGTGCAAACGCCTCATCGTCAAATCTCTGCATTCTCAACATTTTTTCACCATATTTCTCACGTAATTGGGAGTTCACAGTCTCCTCAACAAGCTTCACTTGAGGGCAAAGGGATAAAGAAATAGCCAGCAAGGCATACATCTGCTCATTCTTCTTCAGTATCTGCTCATATTGTGGGGATTTCTGGTGATATTGCTTAGTCTTATAAATATATAACAGAATTTTGTTGAACTCTCTAATGGCATCCACATATCTGTCAACAAAGGAAGAACAAAATTTATTAACTAAATTAACAACAAAAAAAATTTTCCCCAAAACAGCAAACAAATGTATCTATCTAGATTATCATAGAAATGAGCAGCAAAGCAATCACTTGTTGACTGTAAAATGGAAGATGATTGTTCATCACATCAAAATTTTTAAGGGTTTCATCACAAATTCAAACTTCTCTTCACATCACTGAAGTACTTTCAAGTTCAGCCTATATCAGGCAGACCTTTTTTTTACACACAAAATCAAACCTCACAAAGAAAAGAAGTAAGGAGCAGAAGCAGCACTTAGATGCCAGCTAGAACCCTGCGCCATTGAAGACTTATGATGCTGAAAAGAAATGGCACAATTATAGGAAAACATTTATTATAGACTGACAAAAGCGAAGCAGTATAATCTCCTATGTGCTTGGTAATACAGCAGAAGATGATAACGCTCTTTCCCAACAAGCATTTTTCAACTGTACTATTTCTATCATTCAGTGAAAATCTACTAACAAAATGATACGTGGAGAGGGGGAACTTTAAAAAAAAAATGCTTCTTCTAGACTAGATATTAAAAATATTCTCCAAATAACAACTTTTCAATGTAGCCCAGTTCAATATTACCTAAACAAGTTCAGCAACAAAACAAAAAATAATGATTGGAAATATGAGGCAATACAGACAAATCACAGTTTGACAATTTATATTTCTGAAACATATTAAAGAATTAGATAAGCAGCTTGAACGAGAAGCAACATATTTGGTTTGAGTCATGGGACCAGCATACCTCCTCAGCATAAGATTGGCAAACCCGTAATGATATATTGTGGCAATGTGACTTCCAATTACGCTGGTGTATACACCTTGTTGACTTAAATCAATTGGAAGTAAGCACTTTAGGCCAGTGTGATAATCGCCCAGCAAACAGTGAACTCTAAGCAAACCTATCATGCTAAAGTACCCCAAGACCTTCAAAACATTGCTTCCACCATTGTAATCATATCCATCAGTAGCAGTAAACTGTTCAAGCCCTTCCTTCTCTTGCTCCAGGATTTGAATAATCATAGATTTCTCCACAAGAGCTTGCAAGAAGTTAAGAACACCATAGACGTTCCATGCCTGAAAGAAAGAAATGTTAACATCAGGGGGTAAACAGTTTGACTTCCCAATGCAAATACCATTATCTCTAACATCATATGTAAACATAAAATCTATAAATTTCAGGAAAAAAAAAAGTAACATCTTAAATAGAAGCACAAGGTGACTTTATCATGGTGATGATTTATTAGTTATCTTTAAAAAAATCCAGATTGTACCACAAACACAAAAATAAATATATAACAGGATTATACATGAAAAGTACCAAAGAAAGGGGGGCTCTACCGTTATGAAATGTTCTAAAGATAAAAACAACAAAAAACTGATAATTCGACAAGTAGTTTCTTCCCACCATTTTCATTTAGAAAGGAATTGTTACTGAAGGATAATGACAATACAACATCCTGTAAAACCTAAGTGAAAATGATTGCCAGGTCATATAACAAGAATTAAGAAAACAGACTTGCAAGTAACAATAAAGAAACAAATTAAACCCACTACTACTATTTTTTTAGATGTGTATGATTCTGGAATAACATCTTGTCATGGGAGATAAAGAAATCAGGAATTAGTTAGCCACACCTGATCAAACTGCTTCAGAAGCGCAATCTCCTGCTCTGTCTTGTTCTTCATCTTTGCCCGATATTGACAGAATGACTGAAACTGGTAGACAAACTCATCCACCATATCCCACAACCACTGGTTTGGCAATTGCATATTCACCACCCCATGCAATACCACCTACATGCATCCCATCCAAAATTTACACAAATTTCGTCACATTTAGCTGAAATAACTTATAAAAAAATCACGCAGCCCCACCTCAGGCCCATAAACAACATAGAAACGAAATCTTAAATATTTTAAGATTTCAATCCAATACTTTGAAATAATCAAATCAATAATCATAATTAACCCAAACTGAACCAAAAAAGTTATACAAGAGGCGAATCAACAACGAAAGTGTATTAAGCTAAAATTTACAAACCAAAAAAAAAAAGCTTTTTTCCGAATGAGGAAATCTGACCTGGAAGAGGCTGCAGTAATTATCCCAAGAATCAATCCTCTGCTTGAGAGTAGGGGAGAGTCTAGCATAAAGGTGCCGGAACCACATTTCACGGTAGAGAAGGCAGAAAACGTGGTCGTTATCAACGAAAGGCGCGACGGCGTCGACGGAGGGCCAGGGGACGTCTTTGAACATACGTTCGCTTAGGGTTTGGAAAGAGTTCTCGTACATCTGGTGAATCTCGTAGACATTCTTCTCTCTAATGTGCCTGTATAGATGGACTACGAAGGATTTTACCGGGTCCGGCACGAAGCTCGGGTCGTAACTCAGTGAGTCTGGTCCGGATTGCTGCTGGTGCCCGTCTTCGTAATCGTACGGCATCGCCATGGTTTGGTTGGGAAGCTTGTGTGTTTGTATGTGATAGACAAGAGAGACTAGGGTTTATCGGAAAGTCGGGGGTTAGATTTTGATGAAGAAGAAAGTGAAGATGGGGCCATGGAGGGTAGCTTTTGGTGTAGAAGGACGATGTTGTTAAACCGAGAAGAAGAGCCCAATGGGCTCCAATTGGGCTTCCATGGGAAACGGAAAGTGGCGGAATAAGGATCGTTACCTATGGGCCTAAAACAGGAGATACTGATCGTCTGCCCTGCTTCTTGTGTACCCAGAAACCAAGGACGCTAAGAAACTTCAGAGCCTAAATCTCAGCCCGTTTGTCGCGTGTTGGGAAAATAAATACAACTGTTCATTTGGCAAAATTGAAATAACCTCTTTGGCATACAAGTTTTCGGCCAAGATCTTCCACAAGTTTTTTAAAAATTTGATATAATAACCTCAAAAAATTCTTCAAAATTTTTAAATTATACATTTCAAAATATTTAAAAATTTACACACTTCAAAAAATTTTCCTACAACTTCTTTAGTAAATTGCAGTAAAATTTCAGACAAATATCCAAAAAATTTATTTGCCCAATGCGAGCATTATTATTATTTTTTTCTTTAGATAGGAGGTATTGAATTTAGAACTTTTTTTCTTTTTCCTTTTTGTATGCAGGTGTGCCTTCCAAGTTGGGCAAACTGGAAAGTTCTAGAAAGTAACAATTTTGGTCATTGTCGACAGAAAATAGCAAACAAGTTTCATCCTTAAAAACTATCTAGGTAACAGGTAAGCTGCCTGAGGCAAGAAATTCAGAGAGTTGCAGTATGAACCTCGAATTCGGCAACATTGACCTTCCTGCACTTAGGCCACTGTCCCATTGAAGAGAAGCATCATATGGTAGAAGTACAAAAACCTCAACATCATGATACTGACATGAGAAAACTACCAGTTTGCAAAGCTGTTATCAGTTCTAACCTCTAAATACCATTTAGCCTTGCAACTCTGGCATTCCAGAATGCCAGGGGCACACTATCCATTATAATTGCCAAGTTAGAGCTGATTCAGCCCTAAACAGAAGCCTAGCACTGCTAACACAGCTGCACATTAAAACACATGCTTTCTTTCTGTATATTCAAAGCAAGTAGGTCTGTACAACTTTGCTAATTTTGTACACAACTATGGGTATTACCAAAAAACCGACTACTT